AGATAACTCATTGATATACAAAATAAATAGGAGAGGTTCGAGTACCGTGCCTTGTGGCACTCCGATACGCACTGTTGTCCAGGAGGAGAGTTTTGAGTTGATCCTAACCCTGTGCCTCTTATCTATGAAGAATTCCCCACGCCAGTTTAGCAATCTGCCTTTCATACCAAGACTTTCCAACTTCATGAGTAGTCTTTTGTGAGGTACTTTACCAAAGGCTTTGCCGAAGTCTATGAAGACGACGTCAGCGGGTCTTCTGTTGTCCCTTGATTTGACCCAGCTTTCTCTTGCACTGAGAATATTTGACAGGCATGAAGGGTTTCTTCAGAAGCCGTGCTGTGCTCCGGATAAAATTTTGTTGTTCTCCAGATATGCCATGATGCTTTTCCAGTGATGATGATTATTTCCAGTGTCTTGATTGAAGTGCTGGTGAGACTAATAAGCCTATAGTTTGAAAGGCTTCGCCTTCATCCTCCTTTGTGGATGGTGGTTGTTATGGCGTCTTCCCAGTCACGCGGTAAGACTCCATTTAGGAGAGATAGCTTGAAGATTGTGGTCAGTGGGCTGGCTATGTGAGCTGATAGCTCCCTAAGAAGCATTGGATGAAGACTATTAGGACCCATTGTTTTCCCTGCATCTAGTTTCATAAGGCAGTTGAGCACGATGTCTTGGTCGACGTCAACGGAGTCTATCCTGTGTTCCTCTGATGCAACCAGAGTGGATTCTACTTGGGAAGTATACTTGAGAAGTAGTCTGCCGTTGCTTCTGCTTTTTCTTGATGTTCTCCGATTGTGTCACCGTAAGTTGTCAAGTTTGGATGTTTTATTCCTGAAGCATATGCACGATGAATTTTTCTTAGGTTGGGCCGTTAAATTTTGAGCCAGATGTGCTTCGAACTTCGCCCTTGATTGACGGATTTCTGCAATAGCATTGTTCTTAGCGATGTTGTATAACTTTCTGGTCTCAGGAGTCTCAAGTGTGGTGAACAGGTCCCAGCATTTATATTAACTTCTGAGTAATTTGCAGATCCCTTGGTTTATCCAAGAGAGGCAATGTTTCCCACAGTCTGAGACAGACCAAGGAATGAAAGTTTCAGATAACTGGGAGTAAATTTGTTTAAACTAGCCCCATGTGGCTTCTACTTGGGACTCTGGGTTGATATACCAGTTCACTGATTTGACTGCTGGGACGAACGCATTCATATCAGCTTTCCAAACGTTTGGTTGAGCTGGGGTCTTCGCCAATGATACTGCTGCTGTGAACCTGAAAGTGAGCACAGCATGACCACTTCTTTCTAAAGGCGTAAGATTTTGTATGAGATCCACATCCTCAGCATGGGAAAACATCAGGTCCAGAGTTGAAGAGGAGTGCTGTGAATATTAGTGCGTGGAGTGCATGAAATGTTGGCCTAGGACCAGCAAAATGCTGGATTGTAGCAGTTTATAATCAAAGGAGTTGTCTGAAGATGACGTTGTAAGGCTTGTCCAGTCAATTGTTGGGTGTTGGGGTCAGCGACCACGAGACTTCGACATTTCGTTGTCCAGGAGCCTAGCTTCTCCAATAAGGCAGTCATCTGCATTGTAGTCAAGACTGCGGTATGCAGCAGTGAGATCAGTATCTTGGCCTATGCAGCGTAGACGTGCCCTCGATTCACTTTCGCGAGCGAGTGCTTCGATGCTACGCACGATTAGGCATTTCTTGAGGTCGGTGACTGCGCCACTTCCTTTGCGGCCCAGTCGGTCCACCGTATGCATTTCGGAGTTTCGTAGGTTAGCTTTGTTACCAGTGACATCAGGTGTGAGCCATGTCTCTGTGATGACAATTACACCCGAATTTCCGGAGTTTATCATATTACCCACCTCAGTCCGTCTGTTTAACAGGCTGTAGGCATTTGTGTAGCAAACCATAAATTCAGTTTGGTGCTTCCACGGCCTACCCAAAGAGGTTTCGGAATCATCAAACTTCGAACTTTGACAACCCGGAAACCATTTATCTTAAGGTTTTTCTCACGATTTCGATGCAGTTCGCCTTCGTCTACAGCCTCAGTCTGTCTTTTGATGTGGCGTGCTAGGCATGAGTCGATACGGACGTATACGCCTCATCCTTTAAGAGTTTGGGAGTTGCTTGTAATGGCATCTCTCTCTTCTTTGGAGTTTAGTACGACTATGAGAAGGCGTACCGACTGATTTACTGTAAATTCAGATTTTGGCCGATTCTATACAAGCTGTGTATAGCTACACCTGCTAATGCTGTTGGCAGTTCGACCGAGTCAGAATCATGTTCGAACCTGAACTTGAGATTGGAAGCCGGCGATTCTTTAACTTTGTGGAGAATGATTGACCAGTAGGAGAAATCGGGTTCGCTTGACGTGGCTTTCTCACTCTGCGGTGTTAGCGTCTTTCCGTCCTCCGTGGACAGTGTGACCTTTATGGTGTCCTTATTCCTCTCTTTGTGGCAGACTACATCACACCGTTCATTGGTGCACTCATCGCTATCTGTGTTCGACTGTGTCTGCCTGCTGTCCGTCGGTGTGAATTCCGCTTGATCTACAAGTCCCTGGGCGACTTTAGCTGCGGCTTCCATAATGCAGAAATTACTCGTACTGCATCAGTCATTGCACAGCCAGTTCACCAGAGGTTTGCAGCAGCACCTATATACTGCAGGAGTTAGGTCTGCGCACATGCTATAAAACCTTCTCTTGCAGCCATCACACTGCATTCCTTCTTCAACAACAAAGATTGACACATAACTCTTCGGAGGGGTTCCTTTAAATATGTATACGTTTCAGAGTAAATTGGGATTATAATATTCAAATATGGCTATACATATATGACCTTTAGATAAACCAGTGATTATGAAATTCAATAAGTCTACAGAAATGGATATCTAATAACTTCAAATTTATAAGACCACAAATTCTCATGATTAAATAGACTCAAAACCACAAAGTAAACTAAATTCGACCAGAATAAACTGATTTAAAGTTAATCTATAGACTTTGGGAGGATATAACACAACAGAAGCCGAAATTAAACATGAGCGTGTAAAATTCACTCCCTTTTCAAAGTTCGCATCAACTTGATCAGGATGTACACAGTTGAAGGCAATCCACGGGATGAGATGAATCCGTATTATTTTGCAAATATGTTCGTTCTTTCTTTATTCGAAATTTTCACTTTCTTATAGTTTTAGGGAACCAAAACACCTATCTTAAATGCATGCATTCCTTCGTTTTGTCATCCTCATTTACAAAGTTCCCAATGAAAGGAAATACACAAATTCTGTATCAATGATTTTAGCTTCAACCTCTGACTGATAATGAACTCAAAATATGTCCACTGTTGTATGCCAAGAACATACACATTCAATTCAACATTAGTCGGTATTGCTTGGTAGGTGGGTTTCCCGTGAACTATGCTTCAGTCTGACTTCTTCGGACGTTTGTATAGAAAACTTACAACGATCAATGAGATAGACTCCTCTGTCACATGTGTCAATGACCCGTTTGTCATTCCTCATTGTATCATAGGTGCATTGAAAATATTTAGTGTCCCGAATAATAGAGAGTCTAATTCGAAAATTTAGGACGGAATATGAACATGAAAAAAAGTTCTGTCTTCTCGACCTGATGACATTATCGGATACATCTTGGGAAAAGAGACCCAGAGGGCACTTCATTTTGAAAGTCAAAAGCTTGTGTCATACGAATCACAAAGAGAGAGTGGTGTCCAATCATGTAAAAGTCCTTGATCAGAGGAGAGTCTCAGGGACTTACCCTTTGTGGTGAAGCTGGAAAATCTAATGATATACATGACGAATTTAATGTAAAGATGTTGATTGTAGCAGAGTGTAGGAAAAAACGATGTGTTCACGGACTGCCTTCGAAAGTGGTGATATTGCAGGTAAAATAAGGTGCAGACTACACGCTGCACCAAAGTAAGCATATCCAGCTGCTGAGCTCATGTGTTTGTTTCAAACGAGTTGATGTTTAAGACACTAAATAGTGAACAAATTTGCATCTCATTTTACTTCCAGCTTCATCCTCCAATACACGTGTACATGACAAAGCATATACACTGGAAGATCACAGAGGAGGGTTATTATTCCCATTTCCGAATAAATTCTTAAGAATCTAAGACTACTCTGGTCACACACACGAGACAAACTATTGAGTGTCACCTATGGGACACTCTTCATGTTTTCGAAAGCCTGAATATGATGTAAATAATTGATGAGCACCCACCGTAATCCGATTTCCTGAAGCAATCACCGTCTAACTGTCCAAACTCAGTTTGTTCGCGCTGAATGGGACAGTGATCAGTCCAAAATCACTTCGGTGATTATGTTAACAAAACAAAGTGATCAAAACATACTACACCACTTATTCTTCCGCTTAAAAGTATTATTTGTAATCTGGACGTCGCTCACATTATTCTCCTTCCTATCGCAATATATACTTTGTGCAACCATACTACATGTTATATTGGCTTGCTATTTCTCATAAAACACTCGAATCCTCAAATTATAACAACTTCGTTGTGAGAATCTTCGTCTAACCACACTTTAAAATGTTGGCCATTCAAATATTCAGTATTTCAACTACTCACATTATTCCACTTACATGCCACCTATAATTCTTATCAATAATCTGGTGTCAGAGAGATAAATGTACGTTCAAACCATCTTATAATTAACATGCTTTATGTAGGGTTGTAAGCAGTTGGAAAGAATCCGTGAAATTACAAGTTCCCATTGAATATATTCCACTTCAAGCACTGGGGATGAATGCTTTTGAAGCGCCACTGTGACATAATAAATACTGTGTACGGTGAGCATTTTGTCATATTTCTTGAGATTTTAGAGACTTCGTCAACACGGAACATGTAAACATACGTTCAGTATATTACTACTCCTCACGAACACTGAACAACGACTGGTCGGATTCCGTGACAGGGTATCTTACGACTTCATATCATGTGCCAGCAATAACAAACACAACAGAAATAAGAGTACCATTTATTCTGGTATGTGTAAATACATGTATGATAAATCTTCAAATGTTATATGAAAATATCAATCTGTACTCTTCTGAAATTACTAAGTTGACCTCACATGCATAATACCCTCTTCACGATCCAAACTGCATTCTCTTCAATTGAAATGGTACTGTGAACAATAAAGCTGTGAATAAAACGTCACATTGAAATTTGGATCCAGTTGTTTCGTCCTCATCTCTCTCAAAATCTTCTGCATCACATAATGTTCTGTACAGTCGTAGGCGATTGGTTGAAATTCTTCTCGAAATTTATTGGCGAAGAATTCCATTCGAGTTGGTATAAATTGAGAAAGGTATAATCCAATTAGACACACACCATGACGGCTTTTTCCATGCTTACACCTTCTAAATAACCAGTTCACATAACGACCTACATATGTTGCTCGTGGATCTGATCCACCGGACAGATAGAATTCTTCACAGGCTCCAGGAGCACCAAGTGAAGGATTGTACACCAACGTTGGGAAGTAAAGTTCATCTGGATGTTTCATCAAATGTCTTTCAGCCTTCATTACACTGAGTATTTCACGAGCTTTAGAATTCGTCTGGTAGAAATTGACAAAATCTCGACTGAGTGCCATGTAGAAGCTCCCCTTGATCCAGTGTATCTGAAAATTGGAATACAGATGATTGAAAATGGATGGAAAATACTTGATGAAACCTTAGTAACCACTTGTAATTTGCCATGCTCAAACATCCACTGATTCTCGACATCTTTTATTCAATATCACCTACAATGAAGGTTATGATTGATTTTAATTGAGATTTACTCATCTAGTACAACTATAAATTGGAATTCCTTAACGTTTAATACTTAAGTATGTGCAAACTCAGTATTGATGAACATGAAATGATAACTGCCAATAATGCATGTATATATTCCAGTTGATTTTCGTTCATTGCGCAGTCGTTCAATTTCACTCCTTATCACACACTCACAGCTTTTCGAATACACTGAGAAATTGTGACCTGCATTATTAGTTTCCTTCCAACATGTTCTGTGCAATTACTAAGTGTAGTCATCGTGAATTACTTACTTACTGCATGAATCCAAATCATCATCACCAACATCATCATATATATATTTATGTGCAGGTAAAGGATATTCTCTTGTGAATGAAGTGACACCAAATTATGTACAATTAAATGGTGTTGAAAATATATTTGGCAGTAATATATCATAAATGAGAAAGTACTTTGTACAGTATACCGAGACAAATATAATAAATTTCTTTGTGTGAATATGATCTATATGACGTACATGAAAATCACAAGCACAGGAAGCGAAACAAGGCAGAGACTGACCAATATCAAAGGACCACATACAAAACAAACCATTTATGCAAAAGAAAAGCGCTTCTACCCCCTACCTAGACGTATCTGCCCAAAGCAGATTTTCGTTGAACTTCGAATTGATTCAAACAAGAGGATCAGACACAAACAAAATACTGAATAAGTGTATTTCATTGAATGAATCATAATGAGGCAGGTAAACTGAAAAGACTTACTGGAAAAGAGAAATTCCAATTAGGCCATCTCTCATGATTATCCTTTGAACCCGAATTATCAACGATATTCCAACCGTTTATCGCCTTCAATGCAGCAACCAACTCCCAATTCGTTCTCAATGGAAGTTCCTGTCCACTCACATTCAGAATGTATTTCCACTTCACTTGATCACTTCGCATCAACTTGTCCGCACACAGAAGGAACACTTCGAGAATGGAATAGTAACCCCATCTAACGACAACACTCTCCGATCGGTTCACCACAATCACATTGCCACCAAAACAGTTGGCCAGTGCCATCACCTCATCGTAGAATACCTGTGGTGATTTCGAGTCAACGTGAATGCAGTACAAGTTGTTTGGTCTGTATATCAAGCGAAGAAGACGAGATACCGGTCGAATGTTCTCATGAACAGCCAAACTGAATGCCAGTGGAAATTCCTTCTCCTCCTCAGAACACTTCACAGTCTGACGATGGATCAACTTGAACTCCTCACATGTGTGGTAATTCGTCAGATTCCCATAACCACCATTCTCCGTCAGACGGAAACTGTTCAACACCCAGTAATCCATCCAACTCAGATTCCCACGAAACACATATTCACAAATCGGCTGATCCTCATCATTATACTCTCTCAACAAAGAGTGCAAATGAGCTCGATATTTTCTGAAATAGCCTATTGTTGTCAATGAGACGACGGTGAGTATGATGAGGAACGCACAGAGTATTCTCACTGTCAGCGATTTCGTGCGACGCAGTATTAACCTGTGAATCAGTCTACAAGATGACTTCGCTCCATCCGATATTAGCACATATCTATATTTCATGATGACGACTTGTTCCAGTGAATTCCAATGTATATTCTGGGGAGATGTTACTCAAATAGTTGATGTTCAGTGTGCATGGAATTGATAACATCCAAATATGAATGAATTCAGATTTATTTGATCAACGTGTGCAAATAAATCTGACATGAGATGAGTGAGAATACATATGTGTGATCAATAATTGAACATAACCTTGAGACTGTGGGTAAACAAAACATGTAAACATGATTGTTTGTTCTTCACACACTGTGGTGTTTGTGGTATTGAATTTCATTTGTTGACTTTACTAGTCAATAGTTGGTGTGTGTGATCAAGAGCAAATCGTTTAATTGGTTTGTGTACATTATGTTATAATAGATCATGTTTTCAAGGAAATCCTTTTAACCCAATCGTCTATCTCACTTCCAGGTTGACACGTCTTTGAACGAAAATCCGTGAAATCTATTCTGAGTCTTCTGCAGAACGACAGACAGCGTGCAATGTTTGTCTAATTATTTAAATGAGCACACACTTTATTCGATGACATCAAATGCAGAAATCTCAATTTGTGAAGACTTCAAAGTTCGCATTGATCACAGATACATTACTTTTGACCCGCTCAGAAAACAGATTAGATTGAAGTATGTTCTAGAATGGTTTCGGTGAATGGTCTTCAAAGATGACTTTAGAGTGATTTGGCATTAAAACACTTAATTATGAACAGTGAATCAAAAAATAATGGGAAATGCTAGTGGTAGAGTAGGAAAGGAGATTGTGTAGTAGCCTTCATGAAGATAACAAGGGATTCACCCGATTTGGGGTTTACACACAGAGACTGGATTGAGTTTGTTTCGTAACAACCGATTGAGCAAAATGAACTAAATCGTGATTCTCTTGCCTTTCGATAAATTTGCTGTCAGTTAATGTAAACACTTTGTTTCCAGATGAGATCAAATATCGAGCAGTTGGAGTATCAGAAGACTGGGACATGTTGATATCCAGTGCTTTAAGACATGGTGTTTTCCAGTATGGTTTGATAAAGCTTGGGTAGAATGATCCACACATAATTTCGAATTATGAGTGTGTGATTTACTGCCACTGGTGATATCCCACTTCCTCTCATGAAGTATACGCATACATAATCCTAATTAATTTATGATTCTCTCACATCATACTGCTTCAGTTGTCTGAAGAGACCAATAGAAAATGACATCAGTCTTCATACTACTTCTGCGACTACATGTCCTCTACATCTGTTTACTTTTATTCAAGATAACCACCGAAATCAGATTCACTCTCAGTCCTTCATCCAGCCAGCTAATGACTGATTTCATGGACATACAACAGTAGCGCCACGCGTGAATCAGAAATACATGTAACTGATGCTAGCACTTCTGATATATTTGCGACCAATACTCCAACAAATAATTAGTCAGACTACGAGAATCTCTTCCAAAGTGTTTTGTCTTCACTGATTTCAGGCTACAATGCCGTATTATGCATGTTAATTTGGTGTGGTAGAAAGTAATTTAATGTTAATAAATAGATGATGCTTCAAGAAGGATTTGTTGTTCACTAGCATTTGAAGGCATTCATAAAACGGTGGATAGAGGAAGACGACTCCATTGTACCACAGGATGAAGTTGTGTACAGCTATGTTCCTGAAACAGCCAGGATGAGTATTCGGTCCTCCGGAGAATTAATGTGGAACAACTGAATCAATAAGAATAACATTCTGTTCGCCAAACGGTTTTTCACATATTCGGGATTGGCATTGTCTCATTTCTATTACATGCGTTGGCTGCTGATTCTGTGGACAAAGATTCAGTCAGTTATATTAATTCATATAAATAATTAACACTTTTACTCTGTCCCATCCAACATTGTGATTGTATGCTAACACCTGAGAAGCATTGCCTTGGTTTTCTGCTGGTTACTTGATTTTGTGGAGTTCGTCTATATATGCACTTCACATCAGGATATCTGTGGACTTCCATTCAGACTGTCATGAGGACAGTAAAGTTTGAAGTCAACAAATATGTTCAGATTAACTCCTGTTCCTGACTAGTACTTATTCCAGACATAAGAAGAAAGACCATAAATATCCAGACCACAGATGTTGCAAAATTTCCTGAAGAAGTTGTGGTATGCACAGCAAAACATTCTGGAAATTATTGACTACAATTTCTAAACACTTTGGAATAACTTCAGGTAATTTTATGATAAGAAGAAAGACTGTCTCATCTGATGATTGTCGACATTAAGGTGATGATGGTCACAAACAGATCACCAGGCTATATGACATCATTGGATAGGTTTGATGAAAAAATTTCGTCCTTTCTGGAAGAACTGCATCAACTCCATCACTGATCACCTCGTGTGCATCCTTGACACTAAAGGGATATATGCAACAGGCAGCTTGGTAGGCGTTACGTGTGCCGTCATTGATGAAAACATGTGATCTCTATATCTGTGGGTGATAACAAGGAACAAGACATATAAGCGAACAATATTGTTTTCCATTAGATCTTCTTCAGGCTTTACTCTAATTTACATAGATTTATACATAAAATTTTTAACCAATGACGTTGATTTTGTGGACCAAATAATAGTAATAATAATAATGTGGTAAATGTTTTGAACGTAGTTAATAACGATGATTATAATGATAACAAAATATTGATGATAAGGTTTATGCAGGTGGCGATAAGAATAACAAAGGTAGTAAGTGATATGTGTAAATGTAGACAATTCAGTAAATAAATAAATAAGGTCAAATCTTAAAAGTTACGTAATACTTAAGGTAGGTGTAGTGGACAGATAATCAGAGTTTAAATAAATATCATAAAAATACGAAGGAGATGAAAAATAAGAAAGGGTAGGAGGGTTTTGAATAGAATTCACATAGGCCAAGGCAGAAACAAAGCTAGGACAAACTTCTTTTTGTATGCAACGACTAGGATTGTTCTCTCGAATTCACACACTTTCGGCTATGTGTAAGAGACGGATTTGAATTCCGTTCGAAAGGCTCAATGGAATGCGATAGATAACTTTGAAGGCACTATCTTTGTCCACTTGGTGACTGCTATCAATCAAATGAGCCAAAATAGAACTTCTTACGGATTTTGTTTGACCTTTCCGAACCATGAAGGAAGATGCTCAATAATGCGTTTATTAAGCTGTCTACTTGTTCTAACATTAAAAATGGGAATATTTAAAGATTTGATAAAAATGAGTCCAAAGGAAGTCATGTAACTGAACACCATCCCCTTCAATCATAACTCTAACTGGTTCAACTCTAATTTACATAGATTTAAATCTGTGTTAAATCTATCTAAGGATGGTGATTTACTTGACAATAATAGATTTGGAGAACGAAATATTCTCATATTGAGTCATAAGAAAAAGAAGTAAACAGCGAAGAAAATTTCCTTTTCAACGTATCATTTTCATAAGCTGAACAATCATAATTATATTTAACGAAGAAGTCATAAGACCAATTAGATACTGGTAATATTTGTCCTCGAAAAAACGTATTAAGCAATATAAGGTGTAGCCTAGATGGGATGGCTAATTGGAAGTTGAAAAGAGGCAGAAGTTGGCATGACATAATAAGTGTGACACAATGACAAATTAATAAGGCTATATAGAACGGACAGGAACTAGTGGATAGACGATAAGTGTTTTTGCATAAAATCTGTATGAAAACACAATGTTATTAATAAACAGTAATAGAATGATAACAAAATATGAATGATGGGAGTAATCATATTAATAAAATCATAATAATAATAGCAATAATAATAGTAGACTTACATAATTAATTAGAAGCAAAATTATAGTGAGAACGTTACTCGGGACATGGCAGTTTGAGTGAATGTTTGTACCGCTTTTGAATGCAGAGTTTCACTTTCAGATCCCGAATAGTTAATGATTCAGTTATGTACAGATGGCGTATACGAAGTCCCTCTGTACGATATTGAGGGACACTGTACAGTACTGTCAAGCATTCATGCGGTGTGCTCGATGTCCGGAGATGACTAGGTATTCAAGGATGGAGATGCTAGTATTCTTCTTTTCTCCTCTGGCTTGCTAACCAAGTTGGAGAGTGTTTCAGAATACGTTTGAGGACTTGACTTTGCGTACAACCGATATACTTTGCTCCACATAAGCAAGTAAATTGATAAGTTCACAATGAGGTGGCCTAAAGCTGCACCTTATCCTTAACGTTAGACTGGATTAACTGTCTGCTGCAGAATGTGATCCTTAAGGTGGCTGTTGGAAATATCTTCTTCAGACATTTAGAAAGGCGCTTTCTAAGAATTTCTGCTTCTATGTCACCTTTGAATTTCAGGTTCATGAAGAGAATTTTCTTAGAAACAGTTGGGATTTTTGGCGACGAAGGCTTCTCTTTCATGTTTTGTCTATGAATCTTGGTGGATACCCGTTATCTAGTAGGGTTTCGACTAACATATGTAATCCTTTTCTACCATGTCTTTCGAAAAGATTTTTCTAATCCTTGAACGTAATGTATGGACCAGGTTTTGCTCTCGGATCAGTGGGATGGAGCTCTGGAAGTTGATAAACTGTCCCGTTCATGTTGACTTGTGATATATTGATCTTTGGATCGTACTGTCGTGTCTTCTGGTAAAAAGTACATTGAGGAACGGAAATACCATGTTCGATTACTGTTCTAGGGTGAATTTTGTTGCCGGGTGTGTTGCATTGAAGGTTTTGAGGAAAGACTCTAAATCAACATTTTCTTCACGAACTATGAACGTGTCATCTAAGTATCTGCCATACAAGGGCAGTTGATTTTTCAAAGGATCGATGATGTCGTTTTCTATACTCGCCGTGAGGCAGTCAGCTAGGAGTGAATCGAGAGGAGACTCCAGAGCTTCGACATCTTTCTGTACATTGAATTTTGATTGGATCTTAAACGCACATCTGAGAAGTATTTCCTTCACGTAGTTGATTGGAAGAGGAACTTCTAGGTTGTTGGTTTCGATGTATGCATGCATTTGTTCACACACCTCCGATATTATGACTGAATCTTCTTTCATTCTCTTCAGCAATTTTGTAAGTAGGTTTTGCGTTATTTCCATTGCGTATTTCCGGTGGATGATTCAAAAAATTTGGTGTTGTCTGATAGTGTGTTTGTTAATTTCTCATTTTAGTCGG